TGGAGTTATTTAAGAGTAGGTTAGATAAATGTCTATCAGGGATGGTCTAGACAGTATTTGGTCCTGCCATGAGGGCAGGGGACTGGACTCGATGACCTCTCGAGGTCCCTTCCAGTCCTAGTATTCTATGATTCTATGATTCCAACAGGTTTCTGTGTGTTGCCTTTTTGTATATCTGATTTGTATCCATTAATTCTTTCCCATAGAGACTGTCCATTTTGGCCAATATACATGGCAGAAGGGCACTGATGGCATTTAATGGCATAGATCACATTAGTGGATGCGCAGTTAAATGAGCCTCTGATATAGTGGCTGATGTGGTTGGATCCAGTGATAAAATCACTTGTGCAGATGTGTGGGCAGAGTTGGCACTGGGACTGATTTCAGGGGTGGGTTCCTGGATGATTATGATGGAGGTGTGCTGCGTGGTTACTGGAAAGAATTTGTTTGAGGTTAGGGGGTTGTCTGTAGGTGAGGTTTGGCCTTTCCCCCAAGGCCTGTGAGAGTGAGGGGTCAGAATAGGTTGTACAATGTTGATATATGTTGGAGGGGTTTAAATTGTGGACTATAGGTGATGACAAGTGGATTCTGTTGTTTCCTCTTCTTGGCCTGTCTCGAAGTAGTTCATGTCTGGGTACTCTTCTGGCTCTGTCGATCTATTTTTTTGCTTCTCCGGGTGGGTATTTTAGTTTTAAGAATGCTCTATAGGTTTTTGTCTCTATGGGGTTGGAGCAAATCTGGTTGTATCTTAGGGCTTGGCTGTAATCAATAGATTGAGAAATGAGTCTAGGATGGAAGCTAGAGGCACTCATTAATGGATCTCAAAGTCACCATGTTGCTTCAGGTCAATTCCACAAGCCAAATACACAGGGAAGGGTTGGAACTTAATTTCATTTACAAGTTTGATTCCTATCAGGGAGGAATGAATAAAGGTATCGTCTGGCACACTACCTTCCACATCCTAATAACTTAACCAACTAAACAATGGGTACCTAGAGAAGGTGCAAATTGTTCTTATCAGCTTCTTGTAACTAGAACAATCCAATTCACAATTTTTAAATTTTTTTTCCTTTCCCCCCCATCCTTTTCCCATCCGCCTTCCCTTTTTTATTCTTGGATCTGGACTTTTAATACTCCTGTCACCTGAAGAAGTGGGTTGTACACACAAAAGCTCATGATACCATCTACATGTTTTGATAGTCTCCAAGGTACTGCTAGACTATTCGTTGTTTTTAAGTTTTTCCAGTTACAGACTAACTTGGCTACTCCTCTGAAGAAAGTAAGGGTATGTCTACACTACAAAGTTAGTTCGAACTAACGGACGTTAGTTCGAACTAACTTTCATAGGCGCTACACCAGCTCTCCGTTAGTTCGA